CGTCGACAGCGATCAATTATTACGTGCAGGAGGCCGACTGCAGAATACCAACTTACCCTTCAACACTGTACACCCAATATTGATCCCCCGGTAAACATGCGTTTCACCACAAATGATAATTTCGGGACACTCATTTAAGTCTTCAACATGCCGGTACTAACGCAGTCACGTCTCAATTACGCGAGCGGTACTGGATAATCTCAATGCGACGCTACGTCAAAGCAGTTCTACGCCAATGCGTCATTTGCAAGAAAGTAGACGGTACGCCATACTCCAAGCCAATTCCAGCGCCACTTCCTACCTTCAGAGTACAACGATCTGAACCCTTTTCTTCTATTGGAATAGACTACACCGGACACTTATTCGTCAAAGACCCAATCAATCAAGCTATTGTTAAGGTCTACATCTGTCTATTCACATGTACTATCACGCGCGCCATACACTTAGAACTCGTCAGAGATCTTACGACTGAATCGTTTCTATTAGCCCTCCGACGTTTCACATCACGTCGCTCGACACCTAATCTCATCATATCGGACAATGCGTCAACGTTTGTATCAGCGTCACACCAGCTCAAAGAAATCATTCAAAATTCTACAGTACAACGCTATTTATCAGATCAACGCATAGCATGGAAATTTACTCCAAAGCGCAGTCCATGGTGCGGAGGTTTCTTCGAACGAATGATTTCTATTACCAAGACAAGCCTTAAGAAAGTTCTTGGGCGATCCTGTGTGACCTATGTCGAATTGGAGACTATTCTGACCGAAATTGAATCTTCAATAAATGAACGACCGCTGACATTTGTTTCTTCAGATATCGCCGATCTGAATCCGCTCACACCTTCACATTTGATCAACGGGCGTAGTATACACAGTTTACCACAAGCTACTGAAACGGTCACAAACCCCAATATCTTGATGAATCATCACATTGCAAATCACCGATATCGTTACCTCACTATGCTTCAAGATGCCTTCTGGAGGCGTTGGTCGCATGAATATATCACCGCTCTTCGCGAACGGCACATCAACCAACACAAGGGTGTCAAAACCAATAGAATCAAAGTTGGTGATATAGTTTTAGTACATGATGACATCAAGAAGCGCCTTCACTGGAACCTAGCCTGTGTTACCAAGTTATTACCAGGTTCGGACGGTATTGTTCGCGCAGCAGAAATCAAGACGAAAAGTGGAATGACCAACCGAGACATTTCACGTTTATATCCATTAGAGATATCAACCGACAACACGCAATCTGATCAAGAAATATCAACGGACATATCTGCGACGTCATTGATCGATTCACAACCAATCAATGATGAAGTAGACAATTCTAACACAACGCAAATTCACAGACAATCACGAAGAAAGGCAGCTCAACTAGCCAAACAAAGAATCACCATGCAGTACAATGATAATTCTGTGTGAATAATTACATTGACTCTTTATCACATAGAGACTCTTTTACAAACTTTTCGATATCACCAGAGAACTCTTTTCAAAACAGTGATTTATTACTGAACACTAGAAATAAGTAAGAACAGTATTTCTCATAATAATGAATATTGCACAATTTAGGCAAGATATTCATTTGTATCATAATTCTATGTTATAATGTTCCCTTTATTGAATATTTGAGCATTTTACATTGATTCTACAGTTAAGCAAACCCACTATGTTTTGATACAGGTTTGCCAGCAACTCGTTTGCGCCCGGAGTATGTCGGGGCGAGATGCAAATCATAGGTGTGTTTGTTGATTAAGTTTGAATTGTCTAGTTAGACTTCAAAATGTTTTCTATAATTAATATTCAATTCGCTGTATTATTTCTGTTCAGCAATAGCTTTGATGTTTAGTTTAGATTATTCGTATTCCTATTATATCATACATTGTATTTGACCTATGACGTTATTACCGCGATCAGTGATTGGTTTAAAACCGATCTATCACAACATGAGTTTTGTGTCATGTGACTCTTGAGGTCCTCGTGCCATTGTTATCGTTATTATTATTTTTACGTTTGTTGTTGTTTCAAGCCGTTGTTGATGTTTCCTTTTCAAAGTTCAATAAATGTCAATCCTGACATGAGACTTTCCGACTTCGTGAATTGTTCCGACCTATAGAGTACAGTGGATATACTTCGAGCCAAATCACAGCCACATATTTGTCATAATCACCACATATTTTGTTTGCATTGCAATATATACTTATATTAGACCTCATGAATGATCAACAGGTTTTCGGCCTCACCATGAAACAAGGTGCGTAACTCCTCTTCTGGGATATAACTTTATACTAGTATGTCTTAAATCACTACCTATAGAAATGCAAGCTTAGTATTCATTATTTAGAACGTGTGCCCATTTAAATCAGCAGTGAGACGAAAATCACAAAATGAACCAGACAGAAGC